GTCCAAACATTACATCAGTTACTATAAGTAATGTTTATTTTTGGCAAAATATATTAGAGTTGTTAATGAAATACTGTTCCCGATTGAGACACATAAGTCTTAAGCCTATTAAACGTATTCAATGGCTTATCACTGGTAACGATATGTTTGACCGATTTTTCGGTCGATTTGGCCAACAATTGGAGACATTCAAGTTTGACGGACAGGACTGTCATAATTATAAAACAGATTTCTATAAATTTATTGATTGTATGCCAAACTTGAAGACATTGGACTATATTTATAATGACTTTTATATTATTCAATTGTCTGATATATTCACTGCGGATAAGTGTTTAGTTTTGCCGAAATCATTGAAATCAATGACAATAATAATAGATAACACTTCGCAGCCATTGTTTGCTAAGTTTGCCGACAGTTATGGCCAACAAATCAGTTCATTGGACGTATCAGTGGATAAAATTGATAATTTTGCTGTAAAGTCATGGATGACTAGTTTATCACAAATGAAACAATTGAGACAATTGAAGATCTATTTAGAGTACGGTTTGGATACTAATATCATTGATGATATGTTGGCCACAATTGGTGTCAATTGTCGACGACTTAAATCATTACATTTATCAATGTATAAGTATTTTTTGACAATTAATTGCATGTTTTCGGTAATCAATAAACATATGTCACCGCAATTGAAACGATTATCAGTAGATTGTTATCCAAAATATGACTCGGATTTAGTACTGACCAGCGGTTCGTTAAAACGATTGCACGGTTTAACACATTTGACATTTCTGTTACATAAACAGCTAATAATTGGTGACCAGTTTTTCCGTAACATTCATCGCAATCTTCCGCGACTACAGTCTATACACTGCGATGATGTGTCCATTACTGATGAGTCGATCCAATCGATGGGACAGTTGGCACAGCTCAGTGATGTCTATCTTCCCGATTGCGATCCAAACAAACTGATGACAACTGAATCAATTATTTTCCGGCATTTAGTGATCGGCACTAAAATTAAACACTTGTTTATTAAATACAATGATTTAAATTTAAAATATTTAAAAGTATTAAGTTTAGGCAAATATCTTGATTATAGTTATAGTCAGTTATATTATTAATAGTTTTTTAAAAATAAATAATTAAATATTTAGTCCATTTATAATATAATTTTATTTAATATTATTACATAACAAAGTATATAATAACTGTTTTTATTTAATTTAATATTTAAAAAAAATTTGTGTTTTTTATGACAATCTTTTTATTACAGTCATTGACATCTCATTTTTCAAATATTTTTTATTAAAAATTAAAATGTTTTAATTTATGTTTATCTAAATGAAATTTTTGAGTGAATGTTTTGTCGCAATAGTCGACATCACATTTAAATGGTTTGTATTTTAAATGTACTATATTTTTATGAATCTTTAGATAATGTCTATCATTGAAACATTTATTACAATAATTACATTTAAATCGTTTGCCAAAATGTATATTAGATTTATGTCTATTTAGATTTTCTTTTGATATAAATTTTTTGTCGCAACCATTGACATCGCATTTGAATTTAATATTTAAATGTTTTTGTAGTTTATGTCGACTTAATTTGTATTTTAGAGCAAATTTTTTATCATAATTTTCGACATCACATTTAAATGATTTAATCGCTAAATGAATTAATTTATGTCTCAATAAATCGCATTTATTTCTACCAATGTATCGACATTTGGGCCAAAAGCACATGAATCGCGTGTTATTGTTATCCACACGTGTGTTGTTGTTGTCATAATAGTCACTATAATCTGAGATTTTCATAGAAATGCAATCATTTGTTATGATATTCATTGCATTCAAGCCATCAATCGATTCACACAAAACATCATTATTTTGTGACAAACTTTTTAGTTGACTGTCAATATTATTGTGTAATGATTTCAATTCATTTAATTTATTTAACATATATTTAATAATAACAATACTATTATTATTATTTAAATCCATATTTATTAATAATAATTATTTCAAATTATTTTATATATTAAAACAACAGCAATAATACCAAAATACAGAGTCAAACAAAACAATTTTAAGCTTATATTGTGTTTAAAACAAATAGTTTAATATAACTGATAGTAAAAACCGGTTTAATTTTAGTTTATTTTGTAAGAAAACGTGTGATTTTATAATACTGTTTATTATAGTCTATAATTTATAGATATTTTTTGGACAAAGTTTTGATTGAATTAATATTTTTTAAAAAAAGTTTTAAAACATTAGACATTAAATCACTCTAAAAAAGACTAAATCATTTGAAAATCAATGGTAAGTAATTTAATAGTAGTTTTTGTTGTTATCATTAAATTAATATTTTATTATATATTTCTATTTTTAAAAAAAAAGTTTTGATTGAATTTAAGAGTTATATAATACACAGATTACTGAAGACAATGACCACAACAACACCAGTGATGATAGCAATGAAGGACTCGTTTGATCGCTTCGGCGATGATTTGTGTCAACTATTGCTTCAATATATGCCTATCGATGACAAACTAAGACTACAATCGGTGTCCAAACAGTGGTTGGCATTGATATTCAATACACAAACAGATCTAGTATTTGATTGCAATTTACTGAATAGTTTGTCTTTGAAATTAAATCGACAAATCAAAGAGACTATTGATTTGTTTGAATTGATTTTGAAAAAGTGTCCAAACATTACAACAGTTACTATAAATCGTATAGATTTTGCCGAAAATATGTTTGAATTAATTATAGAAAACTGTTATCGATTGAAACATTTATATCTTAACTATAACTTTGATGTCAATAAGATAATCATTGGCGACATATTTGACCGCTTATTTCGCCGATTTGGCCAACAATTGTTGACATTGGTGTTCAACGGAAACGCCGATGAAAACAATGAAAATGCAAGAAAATTATTTCATAATTGTATCGATTGTTTGCCAAACTTGAAGACAATGGACATCACTAGCTATGGCTTCAATAGTATACAATTGTCTGATATATTTACTGCCGATAAATGTTTATTAGTTTTGCCGAAATCATTGCAATCAATGACATTGAAATTTGACAAATTTTCGGTGCCATTGGTTGCTAAGTTTGCCGAAACTTATGGCCAACAATTGCTATCATTGGACGTATCGTTAGATAATTTTGATTATGAAGAAGCTATTTATCGACCAATAATTACAAGTTTTTCACAACTGAATCGATTAAAACAATTGAAATTTGATTTAAATTATGATTTTAATAGTAATTTTATTGTTGATTTGTTGGCCATTGTTGGCAAAAATTGTTATCAATTGAAAACGTTTTACTATTCATCAGATGAAATAACAATTGCATCAATTGTTCGCATGTTTGACGCAATTAACAAACATTTGTCTAAACAATTGAGACGATTGACACTACATTGTCTGTCCAGATATGACAACGAGTTGGTACTGACCAGCGATTCGTTAAACCGATTGCACGGATTGACACATTTCACACTTATGTTTCACGACTGGCAACTAATTGGTGACCAGTTTTTCCGTAACATTCATCGCAATCTTCCGCGACTACAGTTCATACACTGTGACAAAGTGTCCGTTACTGAGAAGTCGTTCATAGCTATGGGACAGTTGGCACACCTAATGTATGTACACTTGCGATGCAATCCAAACAAACTGTCGACAAGTGAATCAACTATTTCTAAGCATCTGTTAATTGGTCCTAAAGTTAAACATTTGTATATTAAATACAATAATTTATATTCAGAAACAAAAGTATTGAAATGTGGAAATTTTGACGACAATTGTAGCGATAGTTATAGTTCAAGTGATTATAGCGACAGCGATGATAGTGTTAGTGATAGTGATGATCAACGAAATAATTTTTTTTAACTATTAATTAAAAATTTGTAATTAATTAAAAAAAATTTTTTTTATTAATTAAATCTAATTGAAAATTTAAAAAAAAATGATTGAAAGTTATTTAATTTTTGTTTTGTTTTATTAATTTTTATTATTTAATACTAATAATGTTTTTTTAGTAACATTACTACTGGTTCAAATCGTTTTCTTACTTAAAAATATATTATTATTTTTTTTGTTTGTTTAATTGAAATGGTTTGTACAGTATTTTTTTAATGTACTGTATTACTACTACTAAAATTAAAGTTAAATTATTATTAAAACATAAAACAATAATTACATTAAAATTGTTGTATAAAAAAATATACACTAGATTTATAAATCATTAATATATATATACAGTATATATATTAAAAACAAAAGTTTACATTTAGTTTTATAGTAAAATATTTTGTCATAATCATTGACCAATTGACCAACTGTTTTATAATAGTTTTAATATTATCTTAATTTTTTTTATTTAAATTCTATTTTTTATATTTTAATGTTTAATATTTTTGTTTTTTTTAAAAAACAACGATTATTATAGCAATAATGCATTTTCTAGCAATTACTGTATTACTAATAATCTATTAGCGCATAAAATGATTTACAAGTTTTCTATGAGATAATAATTTTTTTGCTAAACGTACTTATAAAAATATTATTTTGTAAAATCATTTATAAAAAAAATATTAATAAATAATAAATTTGTCGGACAGACAGACACATCGACCGACCGACCGACCGACAGACAGACAGACAGACAGACAGAAAGACAGACAGACCGACAAAAAGACACTAAAATATAAAATATATTACAATATTATTAATTAAATTATAATTTAATAAAAAACAAGTTTTAGTGATTTAATAAATTCAATAGTAATGATATTTATTACAAAAATTAAATCTAATGACAAACTTTTTTTTTAATTAGTAAATCATGATTTGAATAATTTATCAAAAAAAAACAAATAATATTAATACTGTTAATACTGCATAGTTTACAATCTACGTATACATTACAAAAAAGTATATAAATATAGAAAACTAAATAACTATAGTTTATTAACTAAGTTGTTATATATTTAATTGTATTGAAGTTTAAAAAAACTAATTTACAATAATAATATATATTACTTGAATAACATATTTAAATAAAAATCATTTTTTGTTATTAATTATCTAATTTGTTTAAAACTTAAAATAATAAAAATGTTGAAAAATCAATTGACCATTGTACTTTTAACGGTATTTACGATGCAATTTTCAGTGAGCTATCAAGGTAATATGTCATAAATTTTAATTAAAGTTTATAAAAAAATAAAAATATATTATAAACTATATAATATTAAATCTATATATTATAATAACTAATAAACTAACTAATTATTATTACTTTTTTATAATTAAAATTATTATTAAAACACACACATACATACACACACATACACACACAAACATAACTACATTCTCACACATACACATACATATATATACATACATACACATGTACACACACACACACACACACACACACACATACACACACACACACACACACACACAAACTTTATACATCTAGACTCGAAACAACCGGTGAAGTTTGATTTTGTGGGAATGTATCGGCGAAACGGTTTCAATACAATAGATAAATCCCTTCTCCAGGAAATGTCTAAAGAGTTGAACCAGTTTTACGATGGTTTTAGAAAAGCACCGGCAGATGACCTATTGTTTATCATACGCGACGACTTTGGTTCGACAATTAGCGCTTACGCGGTCGCTGTCGACATATTTCAGAAAGAGTTTACCAAAAAAAACATACCGTCCGTCGCCAAGACATTAAAATTGGTGGCCGGTTTGCTCAAACAAATCGATCAGACACTCAATAAGACAATTACACCCCTAATAGGACAGACTAAACGAAAAGGCAAACCATTGGTGAACAAAAGTAATTTTGTTTCGGTTAACAAAAAATTAGCCATTGAAACAATCAAACGGTTGAAACTGCCGCAGGAGGCGCCCAAATTGGTGTCCACTGTGTTTGTAGAGATAATTCAAACGACAGGCCGGGCAACCAATCAGGCCATCCAATCGATTTTGGATAAGACTAAAGTGTTGGGTGTATTACCGGCAAAATACTTACCCATACAAGCGGTTAGTCAAACATTGGACGTCCTTTTACAGAAAATTGCTGATACCTTGAAAATGGCTAAACTCTAATATAAGGGCTAAACACTACATGTATTACATGTATAACTAAATTATTAATTTTATATTATAATTGCATTTTTTTTGAAAATTTATAATACATGTAATAATTATAGTTTTCTCTAACATTAAATAATATTTTCTAGTAAAAAAAGTAAAATATTAAAAAAAATCAATTAAAATAGCAACAAATTTTTTCAAGTAATTTTATTTAAATTCTGAATTTTTAACTGTTTAATAATAATGTAGATTTTTGTTTTATTTTTTACAAAACTGCTAAATTAATAAAATAAATTATAGTATAATAAACTCTTTATTTAATATTAATTGATTACAAGTTTTAAGTATTTTATGTATAGTACAATGCAATACAATGTAAACTGTATAATAACTTTAATAAATAATAAATAAAATGCTTTGAAAATGATTTTACAAATATTTCAATTTTATTACTAAAAAAATTATTCAAAAAAAAATTTGTAGAAATCATTTTATATAGTTAAGAGATATTTTATCTTTAATAAAACGTTTTAAACATTATAAAGTAGAAAATATATTTTTTTTATAATAAGAATAATAATTATTATTATTTGTGACGATTAGGTTTGAGTACATGTGTGTATGTGTATGTGTATGTGTATGTGTATGTGTATGTGTATGTGTATGTGTATGTGTATGTGTATGTGTATGTGTATGTGTATGTGTATGTGTATGTGTATGTGTATGTGTATGTGTATGTGTATGTGTATGTGTATGTGTATGTGTATGTGTATGTGTATGTGTATGTGTATGTGTATGTGTATGTGTATGTGTATGTGTATGTGTATGTGTATGTGTATGTGTATGTGTATGTGTATGTGTATGTGTATGTGTATGTGTATGTGTATGTGTATGTGTATGTGTATGTGTATGTGTATGTGTATGTGTATGTGTATGTGTATGTGTATGTGTATGTGTATGTGTATGTGTATGTGTATGTGTATGTGTATGTGTATGTGTATGTGTATGTGTATGTGTATGTGTATGTGTATGTGTATGTGTATGTGTATGTGTATGTGTATGTGTATGTGTATGTGTATGTGTATGTGTATGTGTATGTGTATGTGTATGTGTATGTGTATGTGTATGTGTATTCCTTTCAGGAATTCGTGAAAATTAATAAATAATAAATTTTGTGGAACAGACACACCAACAGACAGACAGACCTACCGACTGACAGGCAGACAGACACTAAAATATAAAGGGTTGGCAAACTTAATATAAGTAAACAAAGCGCGTAAAACAAGTTTCTCTTATCAAAATATTTAAATCTGTTATCAAAAATGTTAAGCATTGAAAAGGGGGGAAATACAGCATTTTTGTCATTTTGTGTTATAATAAGTTAAATTATTATTATTATATATAAATTTAATTTAAAAGTAGTTTAATATTAATTGTGATATATTTTTATTTCTTTAAAACTGTGTAAATTGTATATATCGTCAGTAGTATAACGGTTAGCATAGTTATGGATGAAAACACATCCAATAATAAGTTAACTAATCACAATTATAATGATAAGGAGAAATTTTACATAATTCACTGGTTTAAAGAATGGCCAATTATTGATAAATCAATTAAAGATAATCTTGGACATAAATCTCAATACACATATGTCCAGGATAAATTTATGGAAATGTTTAATAACAAACCTCCATGTCATCAAACTATATTAAGTATTAATAATAATTTTGATAAAAACGGTTCGTTAAAAAATAATAGGAAAAAGTCACACAAAAAGCCCGTAATAACTAATAATAATATTAAATTAGTTAAAGAGGCATTAATAAAATATAAATCAATTAATAAAATTAAAGAGTATTTAAATAATGCGTTAAATATTAATATTAGTTATGGCAGTGTGCGCTCAATATTAAAAAATGAACTTAAATTATTCCCATATAAAGTTCAAATAGTGCAAAAATTAACTGCACTATCAAAACAAATGCGAATTGATTTTTGTAATTTGATGTTAATCAAAGTGGAAGATAATCCAAATTATCTACAAAACATTTGGTAAGTATTTTTCTATATAAATTATAAATTTTATTTAATTACCACAATTGACATCAATGGACATTTATTTTATTTTTAATATTAGGTTTTCAGATGAATGTAACTATCATCTCAATGGATTTGTCAACAAACAGAATATGAGAATATGGGGCACTGAGAACCCCAACGAAACTTCTGAAGTTGAGGCACACCCACAATATTTGAGTGTTTGGGTGGCTTGGTGTGCCCAATATGGATTTATAGGACCATATTATTTTAGAAAGTCACCAAAAGGAAGAACAATTAATGCCATCAGTTACCAATCAATGATTGATAATTATTTTATCCCTAAATTAAGAGATATTACTGGAGATAATTTTCAATCTCAAGTGTTTATGCAGGATGGGGCCAGTCCCCACACCGGTAAGTCGTCAGTAGTATAACGGTTAGCATAGTTTATAAAATATTTTAATTTAAACTTACAATTGATATCACAGGTCACCTGAAACTCAAGCCCTTAAACAGAAAGATATCTGTTTTACACTAGTCTTGTATCACTAGTTAGTGATTAGTTAGTGATACAACACTAGTGTCAAAATAGACACCTTTCTGTTTAATGGATTGAGTTTCGGGTGACCTGTGATATCAATTGTAAGTTTAAATTAAAATATTTTATAATTATGTGCTCTGATATCAACATAACGTTAAATAAATTAATATATTTATATTTATATAGCTTGGACCACATTAGATAAGTTACAAACTTATTTTGGCGATCGACTTATTAGTTTAAAAACCGATAATCAATGGCCAAGTCATTCTCCCGACTTAAATCCCCTTGATTTTTGTTTTTGGGGTAAAACAAAAATGGAGATTTTTGATTTTCAAAACCCGCCAAAAAATTTACAAGATTTAGAAAATAGGATTAATAATTCATTTATAAATTTTGATAAAACTTTATTTAAACCTATTATTGAAAATTTTATATATAGATTATATTTATGTATTGCAAGAAATGGGGAACATTTTGCAAACATTATTAATAAACGTCATTAATTGAAATTTATATATATTTACTGTATTTCTATACTTTTTTTTATATTATTTACTAATATTAAGTTTGCCAACCCTTTAATATATACTACAATATTATTACTTAAATCATAATTTAATTAAAAAAAAGTTTTAGTATTATAATAAATCCAATAGTAATAATGATATTTATTACAAAAATTAAATCAAATAACAAACTTTTTTATTAATTAGTAAATCATGATTTGACTAATTTATTAAAAAATCAAATAATATTAATAATGTTAATACTGTATACTTTACAATGTAGTACATAATATGTATACTACATATACAGTACATATACACTGTATATTATTTAAGTATATAAGTATAGGAAAAAATAAATACCTATAGTTTATTAACTAGTTTTTACCTAAAGTTTAAAAAAAACTAATTTACTAAAAATAATATCATATAAATATTTATATTACTTGAATAATAAATTTAAATAAAAATCATTTTTTATTAATTATCTAATTTGTTTAAAACTTACAATAATAATAATAATGTTGAAAAATCCATTGACCATTGTACTTTTAACAGTATTTACGATGCAATTTTCAGTGAGCTATCAAGGTAATATGTCATTAAAAAAATTAAAAACTAATTAAATATACTTTAAGTTAAATAATTAATTTACTTAAATTTTTATAATTATAAAAAATATATTATAAACTATATTAAATATATCTATATATTAAATCTATATACTATAAAAACTTTTAAACTAACTAATTATTATTACATTTTTTAAAATTAAAATTATTATTAAACACACACATACACACACATACACACACATACACACACATACACACACATACACACACATACACACACATACACACACATACACACACATACACACACATACACACACATACACACACATACACACACATACACACACATACACACACATACACACACATACACACACATACACACACATACACACACATACACACACACACATACACACACATACACACACATACACACACACATACACACACATACACACACATACACACACATACACACACATACACACACATACACACACATACACACACATAAACTTTATACATCTAGACTCAAAACAACCGGTGAAGTTTGATTTTGTGGGAATGTATCGGCGAAACGGTTTCAATACAATTGTCACAAAAGATAAATCGCTTCTCCAGGATATGTCTAATGAGTTGAACCAGTTTTTCGATCGTTTTAGAAAAGCACCGGCAGATGACCTATTGTTTATCATACGCGACGACTTTGGTTCGGTAATCAACACTTACGTGACCGGTGTCGACATATTTCAGAAAGAATTTGCCAAAAAAAACATACCGTCAGTCGCACAGACATTGAAATTGGTGTCTGATTTGCTTAAACAAATCGGTCAGACACTCAATAAGACAATTACACCACTAATAGGACAGACTAAACGAAAAGGCAAACCATTGGTGAACAAAAGTTTTGTTTCGGTTAACAAAAAACTAGCCAATGAAGTGGCCAAACGATTGAAACTACCGCAAGAGGCGCCCAAATTAGTGTCCACTATATTTGTGGAGATAATTCAAACGACAAGCCGGGCAACCAATCAGGCCATCCAATCGATTTTGGATAAGACTAAAGTGATGGGTGTATTACCCGCAAAGTACTTACCCATACAAGTGTTTAGCCAAACATTGGACGTCCTTTTACAGAAAATTGCTGATACCTTGAAATTGGCTAAACTCTAATATAAGGGCTAAACACTACAGTATTATATATAATATATATATACAATATATAATTTTTTATAATTATTTTTATTATTTTATAATTAATTTTATATTATAATTATATTATTTTGTTTGATTGTTTGTTTGTTTATCTTTATTTTTTATATAATTATAATTTTAATAATTATAGTTTTTTCTAACATTAAATAATAAATAAATGGAATAATATTTTTCTATAATAAAAATTAAAAATCAATTAAAATAGCAACAAAATATTTTTAAGTAATTTTATTTAAATTATGAATTTTTAACTGTTTAATAAAAATGTGGATTTTTGTTTTATTTTTACAAAGATGCTAAATTAATAAAATAAATTATCTAATTTTTTAATTTGCATTTTTAAATATTTTTTAAATATTAATAAATCTTAAAAAAGTTTTTTATCAGATTTTAATGTATTTATTTTCTATATATTACATGTTTAATACATGATTTATAAATTACTCAGATTTAAAAAAAATTATAGTATAATAAACTCTTTTAATTAATATTAATTGATTACAAATTATAAGTATTATATGTGTAGTACAATGCAATACAATGTAAACAATATAATAAGTTTATAACTTGAATAAAAAAAATATATCTACCTGTAATATAAATGTTTTATTAAATATTAATGTTTTGAAAATGATTTTACAAATATTTCAATTTTATTAGTAAAAAATATTATTCATAGAAAATTTGTAGAAATAATTTTATATATGTTTATATTTAAAAGATATTTTATCTGTGTATATATGTGTGTATATATATGTGTATATATGTGTGTAACTTTAAAGGGTATTTTGACTGTTAAACCCATAGACTAACCGTTAAAAAAATAATTATTTTTATTATGAAAAAAATTCTACTTTATTTTGTTTAAAGGTTTACAATATCATGAAACTAATAGCATATAAAATGATTTACAAATTTTCTATGAATAATAATTTACTAATAAAATAGAGTTATTTGTAAAATCATTTACAAAACATTAATATATTGTTTTTATTTATTCAAGTTAAATAAAATATAATATTTTTTATATAATTAAATAAACTATAAAATTGTTATTATTTAAGTCTGTTATAATGTTTAAATTAATTAAAAATAAAATAACAATTTGGTTAATTTATTTTTATTGAGTTTTAACTAATTGTAGATTCAGAAACTAAATTATAAAATATATTATTACAATATTATTACTTAAATCTTAATTTAATAAAAAAAAGTTTTAGTATTTTAATAGTAAAGGAATTTATTACAAAATTAAATCTAATGACATACATTTTTTTAATTATTAAATAATGATTTGAATAATTTATAAAAATTAAAAAAATATAATATCATAATATTAATACTGTAATACATATACAAAATTATATAAGTATAAAAACTTGTAGTTTATTATCTAAGTTAATAATATATTTAATTGTATTATAGTTATTATAAAAAAAACAATAATATAATTTTACTTATCCTATTATAAATATTACTTGAATACTAAAAACTTAAATAATAATCTTTATTTCCAATTATTTAATTTGATTAAAACTTTGACAATAATAATATAGTAATAATAATGTTGAAAAATCAATTGACCATTGTACTTTTTATGGTACTTATGATGCAATTTTCAGTAAGCTATCAAGGTAATAAATCACTTTTAAAAAATAAATTTTATTTATACACACATATATATACACACATATATATACACACACGTATACATACACATATACACACATTTACACACACATATACACACACATACATACACATATACACACACATATACACACACATATATATATATACACAAACATATATACACACAAATATACACACATATACACATACATACAAAGATAAACTCTTATACACTTAGACTCGAAACAACCGGTGAAGTTTGATTTTGTGGGAATGTATCGGCGAAACGGTTTCAATACTATTGCCACAAAAGAGAAATCCGTTTTACAGGAATTGTCTAAAGAGTTGAACCAATTTTACGATCGTTTTGGTAAAGCACCCGTCAGTGACCTATTGTTTATCATATACGACGACTTTGGTTCTGTAATCAATAATTTTGTGGACGACGTCAATATATTTGAGAAACAGTTTGCCAAAAAAGCTCCGACAGTCGCCCAGACATTGAAATTGGTGTCGGATTTGCTCAAACAAATCGGTCAGACAATCCATAAGACAATTCAACCGCTACTGGCCGGCGGTAAACGAAAAGGGAAACCATTACTGGACAAACATTTTGGTTCGGTTAACCAAAAGATATCCACTAATGTGGCCAAACTGTTGAAACTACCGCAGGAGGCGCCCAAATTAGTGTCCACTGTGTTTGTGGAAATAATTCAAACGACAAGCCGGGCAACCAATCAGGCCATCCAATCGATTTTGGATAAGACTAAAGTGTTGGATGTATTACCGGCACAATACTTACCCATACAAGTGTTTACCCAAGCAGTGGACGTCCTTTTCCAGAAAATTGCTGATACCTTGAAATTGGCTAAACTCTAATACTGTACAAACTACAGTATTATAAATATAATAGTTATGATTTTTAAAGTTTAAAAATATAATAGTTTTATTAATATTTTTTTCATTAAAATTATTATATTTTAATTGTATTTTATTTATAATTATATTATTTTGTTTGTTTGTTGTAATGTTTTATTTTTTAAAAACTTATAATAATATACAGTATATTGTTAAAAATTAGTATAAATTAATATATAGTTTATATATTTTTTATCAATATAAACTGTACATTTTTAAAAAATTAAATATAATAAATATTATTATTATAATGGAAAAAAAATATTTTCTACTTTTTTACGTTTAAAGTTTTTATTAACTATTAGTAAATAAAATGATTTACAAATTTTCTATGAATAATAATAATAATATTTATTTATTTTTTTTACTAAAAGTACTACAAAAATAAAGTGCTATTTGTAAAATCATTTTAAAATCATTTATATATATATATATACATTTTATAAATATTTATATATATTTTCATTTTTCATAAATTTTTTTTTATTTGTATATGTTTATATAAATTTTTATATATTTTAGTCATATTGTTAAAAATTAACATATTGCTATATATTGGCAAATATTAAAAAACAATAATACAATTAGTTTGTATTCCATACGATTTTAATAATAAAAATATAAATTTTAGTTTAGTTTATATTAAAAAAAACAATTATTTCATATTTTAAAAACAAACTCAAATATAAAAGATAAAATATTATTTATTAAAAAATATATTATATTTTATGCATGTTTTTATTGATAATTATTTTAATAATAAATTTTATAGTCATTTACAAACACACATAATAATTATTATAATTATTTCGTTTAATACTTAATACTAATATATATATAATAAATATGTTGTTTTGATACATGTTGTCAAATATATCACTTTAAAAACACATATATACAACAAAATTGATTGACAATATTTTATATATATATATAATTTATATATAGCAGATTGAATTTTTTTGGTTTTAACATATACTGTATATAAAGCAAAATAAATTTATTATTAAAAGTTTTTAATATTTAATTGTATTATTGATTTTTTTTATTAGAAAAAACTCATTTACAAAATAAATATTTTATTTATTTATAATATTATACATAATTCTTACTAAAATCTTAATAATCTTTTTTCCAATTATTTAATTTTTGATATTTAAACTTTGACAATAATAATATAATAATAATGTTGAAAAATTCATTGACCATTGTACTTTTGATGGTACTTATGATTATGCAATTTTCTGTGAGCTATCAAGGTAATATATTATTAAAAAATATTATTTTTTTTACTTTAAAAACTGTTTATATATACCTTAAAGTTAAATAATTATTTTACTTAATTTTTTTTTATACAAATAGATTATAAATTGTTTCTACTATACAATATTAAATTTATATAAATATTTATACTATTTACAATAAATTTACTAATGAACTAACTAATTATTATTACAATATTTTTATCTAAAAAAATTATTATTAAAAAACACACATACACACATACATACATACACACTTACATACACACATACATACACACATACATACACACATACATACACACATACATACACACATACATACACACATACATACATACACACTTACATACACACATACATACACACATACATACATACACACTTACATACACACATACATACACACATACATACACACATACATACACACATACATACACACATACATACACACATACATACACACATACATACACACATACATACACACATACATACACACATACATACACACATACATACACACATACATACACACACACATAAACTTTATACATCTAGACTCGAAACAGTTTGATTTTGTGGATATGTATCGGCGAAACGGTTTCAATACAATAGCCACTGAAGAGAAATCCATTCTCGAGGAAATGTCTAAAGAGATGAACCAGTTTTACGATCGTTTTGGTAAAGCACCGGTAGATGACCTATTGTTTATCATATTCGACGACTTTAGTTCGGTAATCAACAATTTTGTCGACGATGTCGACATTTTTCAGAAACATTTTGCTAAAGAAGTTCCGACAGTCGCCCAGACATTGAAATTGGTGTCGGATTTGCTGAAACAAATCGGTCAGACAATCCATCAATCAATTAGACTACTAATAGGCAGACTAAACGAAAAGGCAAACCATTACTGGACAAACATTTTGGTTCGGTTAACCAAAAGTTGTCCACAAATGTGGTCAACCGATTGAATCTACCGCAAGATGCGCCCAAATTAGTGTCCACTGTATTTGTGGAAATAATTCAAACGACAAGCCGGGCAACCAATCAGGCTATACAATCGATTTTGGACGAGACTAAAGTGTTTGGTATACTACCCCCACTTTACTTACCCATACAAGTGTTTAGCCAAGCAGTGGACGTCCTTTTCCAAAAAATTGCTGATACCTTGAAATTGGCTAAACTCTAATATAATACAAACTATAGTATTATAAATAAATTAATTGTTATGCTTTTTAAAGTTTAAAAATATAATTTATTCTGTTTTTCATTATTATTATAATTGGTATTTTATTTATAATTATATTATTTTGATTATTTGTTGTAATTTTTTAGTTTTAAAAAAAAAATCTATTAATAATATACACTGTATAATATACAGTATATAGTTAAAAATTAAAATAATCAATATTTTTAAATTATTAATTACTGCTAGTATTAATTTACTATATATCGTTTTTATATATTTTATCAATATAAACTATACATTTTTAAAAATTTATTAAAATAATTTTCTACTTTTACTACTATTATTATTAACTTATAAACTATTTGCACTTAAAATGACATTTCATTGTAAATGCATTATTACGGTAGTAGTCAATGAATAGACAAAAAAACATATTTTTTCAACAATTATTGTTTTTTAATAATCAAAACTAATATTATAATTGGTATTTTTTTATTTCAAAAGTGTTTTACTATAAATAAAATATAAATAAAAAAAATACCAATTATAATATTAGTTTTGATTTAAAAAAACAATAATTGTTGAAAAAATGTTTTTTTTTTGTTTATTCATTGACTATATAATGCATTTACACATTACCGAATTCTCTAACTTTAGACGCCATGGCGTCTAATGTCAGTTTCTTAGAGGGGGTGGCGTATTACCTAGGTAACACGACACCTATTTTTGAATTAAATATCGAGTCAAATGCAGAAAGTTTAATAAAACTGTAATAATGTTTCAAATAATAAAAAATTTCATTCATAACCACTTCCTGTCAGTCAATGCTTTTGATATTACAAGTATTCATCATTTCATTACTAAAAATGTTAGAAACCAGTGATTTGTCTTTAAATGAAGACCTTTTTGGCCACACAAACGACAACAGTCAAGACATGAGTCAACATCGAAATGAAACTAATATTATGTTAAAAGTGTCTGAAAGTCAGAGAACTACAATGAATATCAATAACATTGAGTCGGGAGTTGCGGTCACTTTGGATGCGATTCAAAGAATTGGTACTAAGAAGAGACCCAAACTTCAATCAATTACTATTGAACGCAAACTCGAAGTGATTAAATGGCACAAAGAAAACGGCAGTAATGTGTCACAAACACAAAGACATTTCGGTTATGTCCGGTCGTGTATACGAGATTGGGTTCGCAAAGAGGAGGAATTCCAGAAGGTTGTGAAGACAAGAGGTATTAGAATTAAGAATAGGCGTAGACTTCCGAAAGAAAGGAAACCAAAGTTTCCTGATGTCGACAGTCAAGTGATTCAATGGTTTCACATGAAAAGAAAAGCAAAGCTTGTAGTTACTTCTGATCTTATTATGGCTAAAGCATTGGATGTCTTCGGTAAATCAACTTATCATTCAGACGGACAGACATTCACTGCATCGTGGGGTTGGCTCAACGCGTTTTTAGAAAGGAATCGATTGACTTCACGCACAGTAACATCCGTTGGGCAGAAAATACCAGCCGATGCACTGGACATAAGCCGCCTATTCTTTGACCGAATAGAGATATTCAGAAATCAACAATTGGGATCAGATTACAATATTCTTAATATGGATGAGATGCCAGTCTGCTTTGATTCGCCACAAAATAGAACGTATGACACTATTGGATCAAAATCAGTGCAACTTAAGACAACAGGAAACGAGAAGATGCGTTTCACTCTTATTCTGTGTGCATACAATGATGGACGGAAGTGTGAGCCAGCAATCATCTTCAAAGGACTCAAAAAGGTCCCAAAGAAAGAGCACTTCCCAAAAGGGATAAAAATTATGGTCAGTGCTAAGGGTTCAGTTAATGGCGATCTAATGAATGAGTGGCGTACGAGTGTGTACAAGAGTAGGCCTGGAGGCTATTTTTTTAACTTCCGTTTGAAGCGAACGAATGGACCTAAATATCGGACACTTCTGGCCATCGATGCAGCGACTCCTCACCGAAGTAATCAATTCAAGAAATTGATGGCCAAATATCATGACACAAGAATTGAGATCATACCTTCAGGTATGACACCACTACTCCAACCGGCAGATCTTTCGTGGAACCGTTCGGTAAAGTCATCTATCAAGAAGCAATGGTCCGATTGGATGGCTTCCCCAAAAGACCCCAAAGAACTAAACAAAAAAGGAATAGCTAAACGGCCGGCCTATGCATTGGTGGCCCAGTGGTGTCTGAACGCATGGAAGGAATTGCCGACAAAACAAATTATTGATAGTTTCTTGTACTGCAATATGGGTCACAAACGCGACGATTCCGCACTTCATTCACGACTCATAGATTTGTTAAGTACTGGAAGTTCTCAAGAACCTGAAGATTACGAACCGACTGGTTTGACAGACATTGAATCCGATGACGAAGAAATGCATGATATTATAGTTGTCGATGAATCCATTGACACCACAGATGACTAATTTTTTAAATAGAAATAATTCTGTTTTTTGATTTAAATG